GTCATGTCGCGGCTGCCCCCCCCATTACATACACGATTATATACATCAAGGCCACTGCAGCCGAACTCTTTCGCCAAGCTCACTGTGTGTAGCTTTTCTTATGACTTAGAGACATTTCTCCAAAATTAATCTCCGGATACACCAGAAGAATGGCCCCAGTTCTTCAGTCTTCCTGGTATCCTCCCCTTCCCTGAGCAGAGTGAGTTCTCCAATCCTTGACTCAGATGAACTGGGGGATGAACAAACACCCCCAGGTCAAGATGAGGCCTATGACTTCTCCAAGTTCACTCGCTCTCCTCTGTCTCTGCTGCTGTCAGAGACCAGATTTCCTGGTCCCCGACACCTGAGCCTCAGCAGGAGCACATATGGAACAGCTGCCCCTACCAATTTGCAGTGAGTAGGACTGAGCAAAGATACTTAGTCAATGATGCAAATACAGATCATTAAGCTGCCAGTGCTTTACAGCCCTGAGTCTGGGGATGATTGTTACAAGGCAGTTACTAACTGATACATCTCTAAAAAAAATGTAAGAAACTCTGAAGGAACCAGGAACTGTCATTCTTTTCCCCCAGCATACAAACACGTTCCTTATGTTTGTTACTAACCTAGATCCTGAAAGCAGTTGCCATTCCTGCCATGAAATTATAATAAGAAATAAAGAAAGACACACATTACATCTAGCTTTCATCTAAATTTAATACAGTTCCTCATGTTGGGGTGAGTCCCCCAACCATAAAACTATTTTCACTGGTACTTCGTAACTGGAATTTTGTGACTGTTGTGAATTGTCATACAAATATCTGATATGCAGGGTATCTGACACACGACACTTGTGAAAGGGTCATTCCACCTCAAAGGGGTCGTGACCCACAGGTTGAGAACCACAGACTTAGATGCTGCAGTTTTTACCTATTATCACTGTATCCTGTAGGGAGCAGAGGAAGCGTTGAGTGAGTGAGGTCCTGAGGGAATGTGTATTTTTGACATAGGCACAGCCATGTGAAGGAGCTCATAGCCTCGGGCTCAGAGGGATGGCAAAGCCTTCCTCTAGAGACCAAATGTGAGTGTTGACAACATGTACAGAAAATGTTCACCATAGTGTTATCCTCCTGAATATTATTTCCTGGGGACTGCTTCCCTACAGAGACTACTCTTGCTGAGATTAACTAAACCTGTCTCCTTGATCCAACTGTGTACCATAAGCCCCGCCTCCTTGTCCAGCTGTATTAATAGCCCCGCCTCCTTGTCCAGCTGTATGCAATCATCCTGCCACCCTATTAAACTCTATGTAATAAGCACACTGAGCTTCCTGGACACCAGATCCCAGCTATCTGTCCATGTGTCCATCTGTCTGTCTTCTTCATTCGACACTTCAGTTAGATCCAAATCTGGAACCATTCTGGACAAAGCAGTTTCTTTGTGTGAACAATAAACAAAATAGTAACTCTTTAACTTTGTCATTTATTTGTATTTATCTCTTTCATTTCAGCATATTCTGTCCATCTGTTTCTCTGTCTCTCTCTGTGTCTCTCTCTGTCTCTGTTTCTCTCTCTGTTTCTCTCTCTCTGTGTATGTGTGTATATGTGTGTGTGTGTGTGTGTGTGTGTTTTCCCCTTCTTCCTTTCTCCCATCTAACAGGGTGTCTCTATGTAGACAAGACTGGGGACTTGTAGTCTTCCTATCTGTATCCTAGTATCCTAGGATCGCAGTCGTACCTGCCCCCCCCCAAGCCTGGCTCTGGCCTCTTATTTGGAGCCTTTTCCAGAAGCTATTACTATTAGAGCAATGCGCTCCTAATCCACTTCCAGATACCACATCTAGTTGGTTTGGTAAAATCAAGGCATCGGTCGTCACAAACCACCAGTGCAGAACAAATCAAATTAGCCAGTGACAAGCTTTCAACCACACCCTAACCAACCAAAGAAACCAAATCCTGGCTGACACTTAAATACTATCATATGAGCTGAAAGTACTTAAAAGAACACTAATATTAAAAATGAAGAGCATCTAGAAAATTCTGTTCTCAGAATGCAGCAATTACTGCATCTCAGCACATCTGCTGAACGATTCAGGCGAGGGGGAGACTCGCTCCCTATTAACCTCAACCAGAGACACTTCCATCTAAATTAATTATGACTACTTTTTATTGCATTTCCAATGTTATCCTTTATTTGGGGTGGTCAGGAATGCAACGGAGCAATTCCAGACCATGTTATCTTTTATGAACTGGTCTACGAGGTAGTTAGCAAGGCCCCTTAAGAAAATACTGCTATGCAAAAGTTCATGGGCCAAAACATGACATTAATTCCCATAACTGGATGTGTCCTAAGAAAAGAACAAATTGCTACACAGAGGAAAGACAAAAATGTTGATGCTCAGCGCAAACATAAATGCCTGGCACACAGCACACAACTCTTTTCTCCATTATATGCGTTTGCATGTGCCTGTGCAAGCATGCTCACATATGACGTGGCAACCTGCAGGAGCCGGCCATTTTCTCCCCCATGTGGGTTTTAGTCAGGCTCAACATTTGGTGCTCTTACCCTCTGAGCCATCCCTCTGGCCCCAGGCAACTGTTTTTTTTTTTAAATGATTTCTCATCTTTTCTTGTTGTTTTAAAAGCAGTCAATTATCAGTATTTGTTCTGGGCACAGCCTGTGCCTGGAAGGACTCTGAGCTCTTTCTAAGCTCCCACTCAACCCTAACAGAGTTCTAAAGCAGAAGTGATCATTCCTGCTTTTCAGAGGAGGAGACCAAGGCTCTGGGAAGGCAAGTAGTCCTTCCAGGAATCCCCAGGCCATACGTTTTGAAGTTTGTAATGAAATCCAGAGCCAGTTAAGGAATAGCATCAATAATCCCTCAGTAGAAACTCTCATCCTGAGCCCACGGCGGAAGCTCAGACCGTGCCTCGCTTTTCTAACCCGTCAGCTTTTCCGATGCCTCGTACGCCATGCCTAGAGGGCTGTCTCCATTGCTCACTTCTGCCATCTCAGTGAGCTGAGGTCAGAATCCGCCTGACCCACGAAGACTCCGCCCCTGTCAGGGTTCCCTGCCATCCCAATTCTCCAGAATCCTCATTTGAGGAGAGTTAGTTAGGCTTATGTCCTAGATCTGCCACCTGCTAGCTAGGAAGTTTTCATTCTCTGAGCCTCCCTCCCACACTCAAAATGGGGATTATAATCGTTTAACTACCATATGTGAAAATAAAGTTATCTTCCACAAACCTCTTTAGTTAATAGGACTCATTTCTATCCTGTGTGTTGTCACCTGCTCCCACTATCGGTTGAGGGGTCTAGGTGGGACTCAGCATCTTTCCTGGTGTCCAGGTAAATCAATACCTGATCATGGCCTGCCGACACGCGTGCGTCCTCTCCTTGAGTGCTTGCTGTGGCTACTTTATAGCCGCTCTCCTCCTTCTGAGAGACTATGCTCCGTGAAGGCAGACTGGCTTCTGGCCATCTCCTACAAAGGGACTCCCTAACAATTCAGGCAAAGGATGCAGGTGAGTGGAAGAGGAGAGTAAAGCATCCCTGAAAGATGACGGAAGCAGAAAGCTTAGCGTCCATGCAGGAGGATGGAAACGGATCGTGAAGCATCCCCCACCCCTCCTCGAGAGAAGGATGGAGCAGAGAGCACAGCATCCCTGCAGGAGAACGGAAGCAGAGGTTGGCACTACTGTTGGGTGATTCACACTTAGGGGCCCTGTAGCGTGAGTGGCGTGCAGTGAAATGGGATCACGGCTCATATTCAGAAGGCACCATTGACTGGAAATACTGCCACGTCCTCTACATTCATTTGTGGGAGACAGGAAGACCCGGAGTCCTTCAGAATCTTTCTGTGGCCTCCAGTTACAACACGTGTGATATTACCAGCATTGCTGAGAGGTATAAATGTTGTGAGAAATAAAAAAATGACATATTTTAATAAACTAAGATGTTCTTCAAATTTTAGCCACTATCTCATTCTTTAGAGTTTGAGCTAACACCTGTGACAGAGAAAAAAACACTAAAATCCCAATTCTTGGACATGACCCGTTCAGAGTACTGGCACAATTCAGCTGGCAGGCATACTAAACTGGGTCCAGACCAAGCATCTGTGTAAAGGGATGCCTAGGACACAGAGACAAAGTAACTAATAGGAACTGAGAATCCTCCCTCTGGGATGTGATGCAGATTTTCCTCATATTCCTTCTTTGGAATAATTATTCATTTCTCTTTTGGTCAATTAAAAGGATGAACCATGAGTACACACTAAAATTATCTACTTCTATCTCCAAGGAGGAAACTAATATATAACTGCAGAAAGACACTAGCTAATAAGCAGAATTTAACATGAACTCAGGCCAAGTTGAACTCAAATTGCTCTGCTTAAAAACAGGACTGGAGTAAATAAAAGCACTTCAAAGCCAATGTCCTGATTCAGCTTGAATGTTTTATTGAGCACACTGGGAGAGCTCTGTTCCAACACAGGGATGGTTAATGAGGAGAAGTCGGTGTTTGGGTCTGTCAGTTGCTTTCTGAGGAAAGAATATCACTGGGAGATAACTATATCCACTATTTTCACTGTGAAGACAGAATAATGATCTACCTTGGAGCCTTGGGTTTTGTAAACCGAGATCAGAGGAATGCATCCATATGCCTTTTGCAATAATGGCATGCATTCCCTTCCACCAACCCCCACAAAACTTAAGCACGATTCTAAACAGAGTCTACTTGCCAACCATGTAATCGCAGCCCTTACCTTTTAAGGTGAGGTACAGGAAGGAACAGCCTCTCGGTAGCATTTCCAGGATTTTCCAAACTCAACTCTTCTTGAACATCATTCCAGAACCGATGCTCTCTCCTGAGAAAGACTTACTGAATTCCAAGAATATCCTGCTAGCGCCGTACTCCAGGCAAAGCAAAGCCCACCGTGGCTGCGCGTGCGTCCCTGAAGAGAGAGCTGTGGCACACAGCTCATCTCTGAACATTTAGGTATTTAGAAGCGAATCGCGGGCTTACCTGCAGGTGGTGTGAGTTGTCGGCCATGCTGTCTTCTCGCCGGCGGACTTCTTCTAATAACTGGGCATTCTTCTTCTTCTCCAACTGTTGGTTGTGTTTGAGGTTAGCCACCTTCTTATTCTGATCTTTCATATGCCTGAGAAAAGCCAGCACAGCGTGGTTACAGTCAGCCACAGGGAAGGCATGCGTCGTCGTCATCTCAACAGATTCAAGAGGGACTAAGCACAGAATATCCTGCACAGGCTTAGGAAAAGAAGGGGTTCTGAGAGTCATACACCCATTCAACCACAAGACTGTGTGTGCTCAGCACCCACAAATGGCAGGTGTAGGGATGCTACTGGTGTGCCAACGGTGATGAATGGGACAGGTGTAGTTTTTCATTCTTAAGGGGCAGAAAGGTCAGAGGGAAGACGGACACGAAAGAGACACAATTTGGGTTTCCTAAAGCTGAAGGAAGTAAACAGCATGCCATGAGGGATGGAGGCGTGCATGCGGACAGACAGTGGGTCGAAGGAGGTGGTTTAGACACTGTGGCCAGGGAAAGGGTTCCAAAGCAGATCAAAAAAGTCACCCAGCAGGAGCACCCCAGGCAGAAGCTCTCCCACAGGGCAGCTCCCTGGGGTAGACACAGGTAAGACAAGGCAGAAGAAATTTGACTTCAGGGAAACAGAGAGCTACTGGGCTCTCGGGGTGGCTGAGTGAGGAAAGAGCTAGGGCTCCAAGAGCTAGTGAGCAGGCAGGCAGCATCCGGTGATCTGTGATGCGGCTTTTACCCTCTTCTAGGAAGTGGCTGCTCTCCTTATTATTGCTCTTCAGGACCCTGTTCCTTTTCTGAATTCACAGCCTGAGTTATAACTCTGACTTACAAAGTAACAGCCTGGAGTCTCTGATCAGATACAATGTTAAACACATAGCCCAAATTCCAGATCCTTGCATTCATTGCAAATGACAGACTAAGAAAAACGCAGATCTGAAGTTCTGTGGCTGTGGTGCAGAACTCTCCTTCAGCATTTTTAGCCATTTCCTCAAACACACTAGTGTATTGAAATACAGAGTTGACAAAAGAAAAATGGAATGTTAGGCAAGGATATGGGCCAATCAGACAGGATGGAGCCAGGTGATAAGAATGGACGGCAGGTGTCCCTGTGCCTGTCACCAGGGCAGGTGTCCCTGTGCCTGTCACCAGCTGCACACTCAGTATATGCCTTCCTCGCAGAAGCACAGTGACTCCCAAATACATTCCTAGCAGCTTAACTTTCTTCTGAGTATCCATGAACACTAAAAAAGAAGAGAAAGACTTCTCTTCGGAGGTGGGAAGGAGGCAAGGGCTGGCACTGGCTGCATGGGGAGACGGTCAGGTAGGAAAGAACTCTGCACTCAAGTGTCCCTCAGGGAAGCCTTTCAAGTGGTAACTGGTAGGCCATGGAAAGGAGTCATGAGTGTAGCAATCCCAGGTCCCTCGGCTAAGACATGGGCTTTGGTCAGCACCGATCAGTGGTGTTCAGTGACGGCACAACCATTCTAAGCTTTCCCGGGACACTTGCAGCCTCCCATAACCACACCTACAAGAAGCCTTCCAGGCTTCGTCCCCATCTTCCCTACTGCAGACCAGACCCAAGCGGAACAAATCAAGGTGCTGAACCCAATACAACCTTCCACTGTCTCTGTTTGCAAGGCAGGCTCTGCATGGGTGTAGACTCCACACTCTCTTTCTAAAGTCTCTGAGGAAAATGCCATTTGTGTCTTTTTTCTAACTCCAACCCACCAAGCAACTCAGCAAGTCCAGGGGCTAACTCAAGGAGTTTCGTTCTAAAAAATGTCATTTTTAAAATGTATCTAGGATCAAAATTAAAGAATAAAGAGATTGGAGAGGCAGCTCAGTGGTAAAGAGTTCTTGCTGTGCAATCATGAGGACTGGAGTTCGGGCCCCAGCGCTCACATAACAAGCTGGGCATCCCATGCACACTAATAACTATAACTCCAGTGGGGCAGTGAAGACAGGGGGTTGCTGGAGCTTGAGAATAGGCAGAAAGTGATGCATAACAACACTTAACCTCTCTCCTGCTCCCCATCTCTCTGTCTCTGTCTCACTCACTAAAAAACATAAACACACAAATAAAGAAGCTCACAAAAGCACTTGAGCAAAACCACAATACACTCAAGAAAACATTCCCCCAATCTATAGAAATGGGAATTTGAAAACTTTCACTCATCCGTTTGAAGGAAATTGACTAAAGAATTGAGTACATTAACGGTGTGGAGATCAGGCTAGCTAAAAGCGTAAGGCCAAATGAAAAACTTTCAAGACATTATAAATAGGCAAAGAAGGAGCAGGATGATATATACAATCATAATTATTTGTGAAAATATGAGGCCCATTTGGACACATGCAAACATAAATGGGAACTTCTGGAAATCTCACACTGGTCTACTACAATTGTCATTAAGTTACTGGGGAGGAAAAACAAAACTATGGGATTGGGGGACAGGAACGGAGTGTGAGTGTGTGCGTCTGTGTGTGTGTGTGTGTGCGTCTGTGTGCGTGTGTGTGTGTGCGCACGCGCGTGTGTGTGTGCATGCGTGCATGTGCATGCGTGTGCATGTGCAGAAAGAATACATGGAAGAAATGCACTGATAGACATTAGACATAAAAGGCACAAATCAATGACCAAGCAGCACATGGAGCATTCCCATGCCCAGCTGAGGAGTCACTTTTTCTAACTTCTATATACAGAGTCCTTTCACCCCTCCAGGAACCTCACAGACACCATACGATGTGTGATCTTTTTTCACTGGGCAGAGAATTGTCAGAGTCGTCCGTGTCCTTTTGCAAAGGTCTGTGTGCATGTGCTGAGCATGAGCGTATGAGTGTTTGCGTGCGTGTGCGTGTGTGTGTGTGTGTGTTGTGTGTGTGTGTGTGTCTGCATGGACATGACTGTGAATGCATGCAGAGACCTGAGATTGGATCGGGAGTCTTCCTCAGTCACCCCCTACCTTATTCACTGAGGCAGAGTCCCTCATATGGACCCAAAGCTTGCTCACACATCCAATACAGCTAGCTATGTTGCTCCGAGTAATCCCTTGCTTTTCGGCCTTCCCAGGACTGGGATCACAGGCAGGCTGCCATGTCCATCCACCATTTATAGGAATGCTGGATCCGAACTCAGATCCATATGGTAGTGTGGAAGTGCCTCAGCCACTGAGCATCTCCAGTGTGCAAACATTTTTGTGTGGTTTGTGTGTGTTCATTCCTCCTTCTATCAGGTAGCATTCTGTTACCTGATTATTACTATAGTTCAATTAGTCACTTCTTATCAATGCACAAATTGGGCGACGCAAATTATTTTACCATTATGAATAAAGTGGCCATAAACTCTTTCATACCAGACTTTCGTGGAAATACACTTTCATTTCTCTTGGATAAGCAACCCGATGCATATTTAGTCAGGAATGAAAACTTGCACAACCCCAGGGCAGGCCCATGAATTTGCTTTTCAAGTGTATCTGTACTGCAGTGACTAAAAACCATTCTTTAGAAGTGGATTTTCTGGGATGTTGTCAGAAGTTTCCCACTTTCTGGCTGGGGCAGGGATTTAGCCTCTCTGCCCCCAGCTTCTTCGCATAGGAAATGGGGCTCCTAGCTGTATCTAACTTGAAGGTGATTGTGAGGGAGTGATGAGTTAGTCCAGGCAAAATGCTTAAAACAGATCCCAGCATGTTCATCCTCTGCTTAAGTCTCAGCTTACAAGAAAAGTGTGATCACATCTTGTGAAATACTGCACACACATATTCAGTGTCTCAGTTCCCACACGTGACGAGCACTGTGGACGGCTCCCACCGTGGGCTGTGGAAGGCATCACTGGTACTTTGTGATCTGTGTCGAGCTTCACTGGTACTCTCTCTAACGAGTTACACTCCAATAACAACACTGTGGAAAGGTCACTGCAAGCGTGGAGGAATGAATGAGGACACTCAGGTGACTCCACATGCAGACGGCCACACACACACACAATGGAAGCCAACAGTCTATACTACATGCGGAATTTCTAGTAACAAAAACTTTTACTTTTAACCACTGAGACGATTCTACTTTTTGGAGCCTATAAATAACACTGAGTCCTCTCAGACAGCTATACGTTTGAGAGAGCTACCATAAATATTCTGAGGATATTCTCACAGCAATTACAAAGGGGCTATCTGTGGCAGGCAGGATCATTTCTACCGCGGCTTCTTGAGTGCCCCTGTCCTCCCAGCAAAGATCCATGAAACAAACCACTATCTGAGGACTGTGCTGGAGACGGAGACCGGTCTCCTGGCCTCTGCTCACCTGGCAGCCTTACAAGATCAACTGTTTGGCCACGAGTTTGGTGATAGTCCACTGCTGAAATCCTTGTCAAAACCCAAGCCCACCTCTCCAAAGTCTCTGACTTGGCTTCTCTCCTCACATTTTCCTCCTCCCACGGTACTTGAGGTTACCTAAGAACCCAGAGACATGGCCATCCTCATATACAGCCCGGAATGTCAACTTGTCTTTAGAAGACAGCTCATGACCCTTGGCAGGACAGCAGGCTACCCCAGAATTAGATAGATAATATAGTTAAAGAGAGGAGGCATTAGAGGAAGGGAGGCTTGAGAAGTGGGGCTGCCCAGAGGCAAGCAAGCATTCCTCGGCTTCCTGCCTGCTAGCATCGTCCTTCTAGAAAACTTCCCTTGGATCAGATGGCACCAAGAGGCAATTCCTAACAAAGTCCTAGGGATGGCTGAATCATTCCAGATCAATTGTGTTAAGAAACAGTACAGGAGGAAGACCAAGACCATTCTCACATCAAAGCATCTCCTGTGAGGTCTATGACCTTGCGCAAATTATTTTCCTAGGAAATGGGGGTATTTAATTTCCTAAGACTGAGGCTCTTCAGACAGCAACAGGCGCTCAGTGAGTGCTTTATAAAATCATCCAGATCGCTCTGCTCGCCCTCTTCTGCAGAGCATGTACTCATCTGGTAGCCCTCACCTTGGCTTTCCTTCCCACGCAAGCCAGGAATACTCCTGGAAGAGGCTGCATAGCAGGAGGTAGTCACGACTCATGAGCAAAAGATCTCTTTCCCCTAGGCCTTTCACCGAGGGAGGGAACCTGAA